TGAGCCACAGCACCACTTCCGGTTTTCTGGTGGTTAATTGGAGATGAGAGTCTCATGGACTTTGCTTGCCCAGGCTGGCTCAGAACAGCAATCCCCAGATCTCAGCCTCCTGAGTAGCTTTTTCCATTTATGTGGTACTGAGGAATGGAACCCAGGGCTTCACACATGTGAGGCAAGTACTCTACCACTAAGGCACATTCCCAGCCCCAGGATTATAATTTTCAAGAGGACACTCTTCTGTTCTTTCTAGACATCCGGGAGCTGATTGAAGTGGATGATGTGATGGAGGATGCATCGCTGAGATTTGGTCCCAACGGAGGACTGGTGTTCTGCATGGAGTACTTTGCCAATAATTTTGACTGGCTGGAGGACTGTCTCGGCCATGTGGAGGATGACTACATCCTTTTTGACTGTCCAGGTAAGTCAGCAGTTTGTGTTACCTTTGAAGCTGTAGTTATGTTCTCTGTATAGCTCTGACTGCACAGCAGCAAGGTGCCATGTCTTGTGCATTTGAACTTGGTAGATTACGAGGTAGCTGTGGTCTCTGCCTTTCTGGGACTCAAAGTCCAGGGGTTTGTGAGACACCAAAAACAAAATCACCCCAGTGGTCCCTGAATCCCTTAGTAACTGAGAGTGTCGCATGCAGGGGAGAGGGAGATCTCTGGTCTTGTGGCCTCTAAGCTGCAGGGTAGAGGTGAAGGTGAGGGGCAGTGCTTCAGGCTGGGGCTCTCACACCCAAGGCCTCATAAGCTTAATATGGTTTTGTGGCCTTCATTTGTTTTCTTTTGCTTTTTTTTTTTTTTTAATTGGTCATGGGGCTTGAACTCAGGGTCTAGATGCTGTCCCTGAGCTTTTCTGCTCAAGGCTATTGCTCTACTACCTTAAGCCATTCAAGCTCCACTTTGGAGTTTCTGGTGGTTAATTGGAGGTAACCATCTCATGGACTTTCTTGCCCATGGTCTTTGAGCCATGGTCCTCAGCTCTCAGCCTCCTGAGTAGCTAGGATTCAGAATTCCTCTTTTCACCTTGGATGGGAGGACTTAGGGTGTAGTTGATGACTTAACCTGTTTCCTGTGTTCTTTCTGCAGGTCAGATTGAGCTGTACACGCATTTGCCTGTGATGAAGCAGCTAGTCCAGCAGCTGGAGCAGTGGGAGTTCCGAGTCTGTGGAGTTTTTCTTGTCGATTCCCAGTTCATGGTGGAGTCATTCAAGGTTTGGGGATAAGTGTGTTGGCGATTGCTTGGTCATGGGTACTGTACAGAGATGGCATCCTCCTCTAACTACTGTGATTCCTGGCATTGCACACACCAGTCTAGAGCTACTTAGTATCCTTTTCTTAATTACTACATTATTATGTCATGTATTTTTAACTCACTAATAGATATTTTTCCCGGTGCGCAAGGCGCGGGGCGCGCGGCGAGAACGCGCGGCGGGAACGCGGGCGAGTGGACGTGCCCGGAGACCACGTGCTCCACCCCCAACGACCCTCGGCACCGCAAAGTCAAACCCTGAGGAGCTACGAAACCCGGGCGCCCGGGCGCGCGGCGAACCGTTAGCCGTTGTCACCCAGGCAACCAGAGCGTCGGTTCGCCAACCGCCCCTGGCCTTGGACAGCTGCGGCGCATGCGCGGGCCCGCCCTCTCCACCCACACTCGTTTCGCCCGCCAGCGAGAGTCCCGGGATTTGACCCGCGGAACGCCCTGTAGTTAGGGGCGTGACAGAACGGAACGCGGAAGTGAAGGATGGATTATGATTGGTTCCCACTTCGAGTTCCCGGAAGTCAGAGGGCGTCGCGCGAAGGCTGAAGGCGTCGGGAGCTGACGGGAGCCGACGGGGACGCCGGGACCCGCCATGCCTCGGTACGCGCAGCTCGTCATGGGCCCCGCCGGCAGCGGGAAGGTGAGGAGCGGAGAGTCGCCGCTGTGGGGAGGCGGGGCGCCGGGGCTGCGGCGGGGCAGCGGGCCTGTGAAACCGGGGGCCTCGGACGACCCCCTGTGCCCCCGCGCTTCAGGCTCCGTTCTGCTCTTGCTCGGGACTAAAGGTAGTTGCTAAAGTTCCTTGAGTACTTAGGCGCCGGTGTGTTTTCTTTAAAAAAAAAAAATTGAAGGGCTGGGAAGGTGGCTCAGTGGTAGAGTGCTTGCCTTGCATGCCTCAGGCCCTGGGTTCGATTCCTCAGCACCACATAAACAAAAAAAAAAGCCGGAAGTGGCGCTGTGGCTCAAGTGGTAGAGCGCTAGCCTTGAGCTGAAGAGCTGAGGGACAGCGCCCAGGCCCAGAGATCAAGCCCCACGACTGGACCCAAAAAAAAAAAAAGAAAATCCTTGTAGCCAGGCACCAGTGGCTCATCCTAGTTGCTCAAGAGGCTGAGAACTGAGGATTACGGTTCAAAGCCAGCAGGGGCAGAAAGTCTGAGAGCCTTACCTCCAGAAGTGGCGCTGTAGGCTCAAGTAATGGAGTGCTTGCTTCGAACTAAATGCTGAGAGACAGCGCCCAGGCCCAGTTTAAGCCACACAACTGACAAAAAGAAGTCAGTTTTATGCGACAAGAAAACTTTAATTGTACATAGCAGAAGTATAAGCATATATTTCAGGTAAATTTTATTACACAAATATCATTTGCACACAAGTTGCTAAAACAAAATTAACGGCTTAATGGTGCAAAATGCAATTCTAAACATGGAGAGCACGCGTCAGCCCTTGCGCCCACCCGCCTTTGGCACTGTGCTGCAGCTGTTCACCCAGCACGCAGGACTGTCAGGCCAGCATCAGATGTTCTTCCTGTTCTTCGATCGACATAGATTGCATACACTTATTTAGTAGGTCTTCCTCCTTTTTTTCTTCATTCATGTAGGATTCAGAGTCATTTGAAGAAACTGAAGGAAAAATCAGAGTTTATAATAGCTGTTTTGGAAATGAAGTTCTAAGTGCAACTTGGAAGATGACCTTTTTGTTTTGGTTGGTCATGGGGCTTGAATCGGCCTGGGCACTGTCCCTTAGCCCTTTCACTCAAAACTAGTACTCTACCACTTAAGAGTCACAGCGCAACTTCTGGTTTTCTGGTGGTTTAGTGGAGATAAGAGTTCTCATGACTTTGCTGTCTGGACTGACTTCAAACCCTAATCCTCAGATCTCAGCCTCCTAAATAGCTAGTATTACAGGCGTGAACCACCAGAGCCCTGGCTGACATAATTAATAAACCTTTATTTAGTGAAAACAAATGGCCTTCAGGGCTCAGCCTGTAGCTACTTCCTTGTCTTAAATCTTTTGCTCATTAAGAGTTATAGTACTGGGGTTGGGGTTGGAGGTGTTGCTCAGTTGGTAGAGCACTAACCAATAAGCAAAAAGAGTCCCTGTCCCTGACAGCAGAGTTACAGTACAGTACTCTCCACACTAGAGTGCTGTGACGAACAAGCACTGTGCCCCAGGGAGTTTCAAGATCTGGCTCAAGTTGAAGTGGTCAGGTTTTCCTGAGTATCTTCATTTTCCTTTAGGTCTTCTCTTGGAGATCATAGCAACGTTTCCTGTGTGAGTTGTGCTAACAGTTTGTTTTAAAGCCAGACCTTCTCCCCCTGCCCTTTCCCTTATTCTTGGCTGGGGATGAAAGTGCCCCTTTACCGCGAGGCTGAGCGGGGTCAGCATACAGTGTCGGATGTCAGCTCAGAGGGCCCGCCTTCCCTGCTTCCCACCATGGCAGTAGCTAGGAAGTGTAGTAGTAGTAATAGTATTTTGGTACTACGGGGACTTACACATGTGTATAAGTTCCACACTTACTTGGCTGCATGTACAGTCTGCCTGATCTTCTGAAAATCTTCATTGACTTACATCTTGTTTTAGACACATGTCCATTTTTTAACCTTAAAATAAGGTTAAAAATAAGGTTAACAACGGGAAATAACAAAGTGAGTGAACCACTGCCTAATGCATGTGGTGGCGCTGTGTCTCAGGTGGTAGAGCACTAGCCTTGAGCAAAAGAGCTCAGGGAAAGCGCCCAGGCCTGAGTTCAAGCTCCATGACTGAAAACAATAAATAAAAATAAAGTAGAACATTTCTCTCTGTAGAAACATATGCATTTCTCTTCGTGGAAATGTTTGCGTAATTTTAAATTTGTATAGAAACACTGAAAGGGAAGCCCATATCTCTAGCTGATTCAAAGAAGACATTCCAATGAGCTTGGTAAAAAAAAGCAAGACCCCTCTTTTATTTTTTTTTGTCAGTCGTGGGGCTTGAACTCTGGGCTTGGGCGCTGTCCCTGCGCTCTCCGCTTGAGCCACAGCGCCACTTCCAGTTTCCCAGTGGTTTATTGGAGATAAGAGTCTCACAGACTGTCCTGCCTGGGCTGGCTTTGAACTGGGATCCTCAGATCTCAGCCTCCTCAGCTAGGAATACAGGCGTGAGCCATCGGCGCCTGGCAGTAAGACCCTTTTGTACAACCTGTCTACTCTGTTCTCAGCCGAGCCTAGTGAACACAATTTTTAATATCACTTGGCAGTCCTTCAGATAAAACAGGGAGTTGTGAGAAATAGATGCTCATGTAACTGTAACCCCTCTGTACATCACTTATAGTAATAAAAACATCAAAAACAACAACAACAACAGACCCCTCTTTGTTCCTCGGGGAGCGCCAAAGGGAATGCTGTAGGCTCCCTTGGGGTGCAGCCTGGGTGCAGGACAAGCCCTTCGCCAGCTGATGGCGCCCTGTGGTGGCAGCGGAAGGCTGTTTCTGTGAGCAGCGGCAGCAGGGCACGCCTGGGAGACAAAGCATCAGTCAGAGGACATCTCTGGCAGGGGAGGCGGGGCTGGGGAAGCCCGAGTGCACCTGCCTGGCTCCTGCGAGCTGTGATGAATCACTTGCATGTACTGCCTTTTCATCAGCATCCGCAGATAGCTGGAGTTGCAGATCTTCGCGATGCTGTAGAGGTAACGCTTCTGGCTCACAGTGAGGTATGGATGCTAAAGACAAAAGGATTTTTTTTTTTTTGGTCCAGTCATGGGGCCTGAACTCTGGGCCTGGGCGCTGTCCCTCAGCTCTTCAGCTCAAGGCTAGCGCTCTACCACTGGAGCCACAGTGCCACTTTTGGCTTTTTTCTGTTTGCTTATGTGGTGCTGAGGAATCGAACCCAGGGCCTCAGGCATGCAAGGCAAGCGCTCTACCACTGAGCGACCTTCCCAGCCCCCCACAAAAGGATATTTATTACTAACGCTGTAAAACATGGGGATGCGGCTATCTTTCTCACCTGAAAGGGTGATGTGGAGAGCTGTACGTTTTATTGAGCCAACTGTATTAACTTAGCCCAAAAAGGAATGAAATGTCCATCAAGAGTGCAGGTGAGGGGCTGGGAAGGTGGTTCAGTGGTAGAGCGCTTGCCTTGCATGCAGGAGGCACTGGGTTCAATTCCTCAGCACCACATAAGCAGAAATAGCCGGAAGTGGTGCTGTGGCTCAAGTGGTAGAGCGCTACTAGCCTTGAGCTGAAGAGCTGAGAGACAGTGCCCAGGCCCAGAGTTCAGACACCATGACTGACCAAAAAAAAAAAAAAACAAGTTCAGCTGAGGGCTGGGAAGGTGGCTCAGTGGTGGAGTGATTGCCTTGAGCTGAAGAACTGAGGGGCAGCACCCAAGCCCAGAGTTCAAGCCCCATGACAAACCAAAAAAAAAAAAAAAAGGCTGGGAAGGTGGCTCAGTGGCAGAGCTCTTGCCTTGCATGCCTGAGGCCCTGGGTTCAATTCCTCAGCACCATATAAGAAAAAAGCCGGAAATGCTGTTGGCTGTTGCTCAAGTGGTAGAGCGCTAGCCTTGAGCTGAAGAGCTGAGGGACAGCGCCCAGGCCCAGAGTTCAGGCCCCACGACTGGACCCAAAATAAAAAAAAAAAGTGAGAGCTGGGAATGTGGCTTAGTGGTAGACTGCTTGCCTTAAAAGCCAGCCCTGGCAGGAAAGTCCTTGAGACTCATCTCTAATAAGCTGCTAGAAAACTGGAAGTGGCGCTGTGGCTCAAGTGGTAGAGTGCTCGCCTTGAGCTGAAGAGCTGAGGGACAGCGCCCTCAACCGACAAAAAAGAAAAACAGAAAATGCCAGAAATGGCACTATGGCTCAAATGGTAGTGAGCAAAAGCTCAGGGACAGCGCCCAGGCCCTGAGTTCAAGACCCAGAACTGGCAAAAAAAATAAAGTGCAGCTTATGCTTGTAATCCTCGCTCCTCAGGAGGAGATCTGAGATCTGAGTATCAAGGTTCAGGCAGTAAAGTCCAAGAGACTCATCTCCAAAACCATCAAAAAACCAGAAGTGGCTCAAGGTAGAAGAGTGCTAGCTTTGAGCAAAAAGAACTCAGGGAGCCGGGCGCTGGTGGTTCACACCTGTAATCCTAGCTACTCAGGAGGCTGAGATCTGAGGATCTCGGTTCAAAGCCAGCCCGGGCAGGAGAGACCATGAGACTCCTATCTCCAATAAACCACCAGAAAACCAGAAGTGGCGCTGTAGCTCAAGTGGTAGAGCGCTCGCCTTGAGCTGAAGAGCTGAGGGACAGCGCCCAGGCCCAGAGTTCAAGCCCCACGACCGAAAAAAAAAAAAAAAAACCTCAGGGAGTGTGCTCAAGTCCCAAGTTCAAGCCCCACAACCAACAAAAAATGCTGGATTGGAGCTGTGGCTCAAGTAGTAGAACATTAACCATGAAGAAAAACTGAGTAAGAAGACGCTGAGTGAGGGAGCCGGGCTCTGGTGGCTCACACCTGTAATCCTAGCTACTCAGGAGGCTGAGATCTGAGGATTGCAGTTCAAAGCCACCGTGGGTTCACTTCCTGGCTCAGCGGCAGGGGGTCTGCTTAGCATGCATGTGCCCCCCCCAAAAAAACCAACCAAGCCCCCATCACCCTACCTTTAGGAAGCAGGTGTCCACCAGCGCCTTGGGGACGTGAATGGTCTGCAGGAGGGGCGTCCGCCGTAACTCGTGCAGCGTGGCCATGTGTGAGCTCATCTTGTGTCTATCTTTAATCCTATCTGCAGCCAAGGGTGTGATGTGAATTTCGGAGGACTAGCTAGGACTGCGCGCTGGAGCCCCTGTCACCTGGCCACGCCAGCCTTTGAAACATTGTTTTTGTTTGAGACAGGATCTGCAGAGCCTGGGCTGGCTCATGATGAAGGATACGATTGCCTTAGCATCCCTACTGCTGAGATTACAGACGTGCTTCACTACACCTAGCCTTTTTGCACTAAGAATTTTGGCATGGAATTTAAATTAGCCAACCTTCCCTGTAACACACTATGAAAACAACCATGTGGTCAGGCGCTGGTGCTCCCCCTTGTAACCCTAGCTAGTTGGGAGGCTGAGATCTATCCACCAGGTGAGTCTATACACCAAAGTTCCAGATGGCATGGGCTTGTCGTTCCAGGCACCATGGGAAAACAAACACAGATGTGTGGAGGTCCAGGAGTGAGCCTGGGTAGGGAGTGAGACCCTAGCTCAAAAGTAACCAAAAACCAGGTGCACTGGCTCATGCCTGTAACCTAACTACTCAGAAGGCTGAGATCTGAGGGAGAAGCCAGGGCAGGAAAGGGAAAATTCATGACACTCTCCTCTCCAATTAACCAGCAAAAAGCTGGCAGTGACGCTGTGGTTCAAATGGTGTAGCAGGGGCTGGGAAGGTGGCTCAGTGGTAGAGCGCTAGCCTTGCATGCATGAGGCCCTGGGTTCGATTCCCTAGCACCACATAAGAGAAAAAGCTGGAAGAGGCGCTGTGGCTCAAGTGGTAGTGCACTATCCTTGAGCTGAAGAGCTGAGGGACAGTGCCCAGGCCCAGAGTTCAGGCCTCATGACCGGACCCCCCCCCAAAAAAAAACCCAAAAAACATCAAATGGTGTAGCATTAGCTTTGAGCAAAAAAGTTCAGGGGTGGAGTCCATGCCCCAAGGCTAGAGGTGTCATTTGGGGGCGGGGAGAGGGGGGGTGCCTTTCTAGCAAGATCTGAAGATTGCAATTAAATGCTGGCCTGAGCAAGGCCATGAGACTTTTATTTCCAATTAACCACCACATAGCCAGAAGTGTAGCCGAATCAAGCCTTGCACACATAAAAGCTTTGGGACAGCACCTAGTCCCTAGACTCCAGCCCCAGGCCCTACATTGTGTAAGTAGAAGCAAACTAGCTTCCTTGAACTACTATGTACAGGTCTGATCTGCACTTACCAGTACTTTTGGCATTCTGGTAATATGAATGTTCAGCTGATCTGTTAAAAAAAGGATATAAATATGTAAAGACTGACAGCTTTATGGGCATTCAAGAACACACTTCACAGGACAAAGGGATGGCTTGCATACACTTTAACTTTCCGTGTTTCCATGTGACACAATGTCTCAGAAAGTTCTCCTGTAATTTTGCTTACATCCTAAAGGCACCACTATTCTTTGGAGTTACCTGAAATTTTTATCATACTAAAAAGGACTTACTTTAAACCATGTTTGGTCATTTACCGCTTCTTAATTTCTACAATGAACCCAATGACGTATTGGGGCTGGTGAAGTAACTCAAGCCTGTCACCAAACACTCAGGAGGTGGCTGAGACAAGAGGACTGTGAATGCAAGGCCACCCTGGGCTACACAGCTAGACGCTATTTCAACAACTACGAAAAAGAATCAGCCCATCTGGGCTCCTGCTGCATCCACGTTATTATTTCCCTGTTCTCTTTAATAAAGTATTGACACATTAAAAAAAATAACAACACGACTCCTTGAAAGAGTAGTTCATTCACGGTGTAAAATGTTTCTGGTTTCATACAAGAACCCATCAAACCAAGAGCCAGCTTTTAGCCACGGCCAGAGGCTCAGCGGCGTTCATCCTAGCTACTCGGGAGGCTGAGATCTGAGGATCGCCGTTGAAAGGCTGGTCGGGGCAAGACGGACCAGGAATGAGACCTTTATCTCCAATTAGCCCCAAACAACAAGCAGTGGAGCTGGATCCGGGGACAGGTGGTGGGGCGCCTGCCTTGAGCCAAACAGCTCAGGAACCCCGGCCTCCAGCCCCACGGCCAGCACAAAGGTAACAACACCAACACCAGAGTTCTTCTACTTTATTCCGTGGCCGCCATCCAGGGGTTCGACAAACTGGGCCCCGGCCCGCCCCGGCCGCTGTGAAGACCACACCCCCGCTTAACCCGTCCTCACACTCCGGGGAAACTGAGGCAGAGGACGCGACGTTCAAGGCCAGCCCGGGCAGCTCCGCTTAGATCCTGTCTTGAAAACCAGCCAACAAACGCGGACGTGAAGGCCGCCGCGGCCCCTGGCATCGGAACCCACCCGAAGCCCGGCCGGGAGACCCGCAGGACGGGGCGAGGCCGGGCCCCGGGGCGTCCCCCCGCCCGGTCCCCGCCGTCCGGCCGCGGGGGCCCCCGCCGGGGCCCGAGCGCCACAGGCCCCGGCCCCGGCCCCGGCCCCGGCCCCGGCCCGCCTCCGCCACCCGCCAACGCGAAGGGCCCCGCCCCGAGCCGGGCTCCGCGCACACGCGGGGGGCCGTGCCTCACCGGCGGCCGCCACCCTCGGCCTCGGCCCCGAGGGGCCCCTCAGCCTGGCCCGGCATCGCCTTGCACCCGGTGCCCGGCGCGGGGCTCGAGCGCCGGGGACGCCGGGAGCGTGCGGAGGGCCGGGCGGCGGACCCCGGTGCGCAAGGCGCGGGGCGCGCGGCGAGAACGCGCGGCGGGAACGCGGGCGAGTGGACGTGCCCGGAGACCACGTGCTCCACCCCCAACGACCCTCGGCACCGCAAAGTCAAACCCTGAGGAGCTACGAAACCCGGGCGCCCGGGCGCGCGGCGAACCGTTAGCCGTTGTCACCCAGGCAACCAGAGCGTCGGTTCGCCAACCGCCCCTGGCCTTGGACAGCTGCGGCGCATGCGCGGGCCCGCCCTCTCCACCCACACTCGTTTCGCCCGCCAGCGAGAGTCCCGGGATTTGACCCGCGGAACGCCCTGTAGTTAGGGGCGTGACAGAACGGAACGCGGAAGTGAAGGATGGATTATGATTGGTTCCCACTTCGAGTTCCCGGAAGTCAGAGGGCGTCGCGCGAAGGCTGAAGGCGTCGGGAGCTGACGGGAGCCGACGGGGACGCCGGGACCCGCCATGCCTCGGTACGCGCAGCTCGTCATGGGCCCCGCCGGCAGCGGGAAGGTGAGGAGCGGAGAGTCGCCGCTGTGGGGAGGCGGGGCGCCGGGGCTGCGGCGGGGCAGCGGGCCTGTGAAACCGGGGGCCTCGGACGACCCCCTGTGCCCCCGCGCTTCAGGCTCCGTTCTGCTCTTGCTCGGGACTAAAGGTAGTTGCTAAAGTTCCTTGAGTACTTAGGCGCCGGTGTGTTTTCTTTAAAAAAAAAAAATTGAAGGGCTGGGAAGGTGGCTCAGTGGTAGAGCGCTGGCCTTGCATGCCTGAGGCCCTGGGTTCGATTCCTCAGCACCACATAAACAAAAAAAAAAGCCGGAAGTGGCGCTGTGGCTCAAGTGGTAGAGCGCTAGCCTTGAGCTGAAGAGCTGAGGGACAGCGCCCAGGCCCAGAGATCAAGCCCCACGACTGGACCCCCCCCCAAAAAAAAAGGTGTTTATTTCGTTTTAAAATATTTTAAGTTGCTATTAAGAAGGTGATATGCAGAGGGGCTATACACGTCAGGTAAAGAGCACACGTCTTTTTTTTTTTTTTTTTTGTCGGTCCTGGGGCTTGAACTCTGGGCTTGGGCGACGTCCCTGCAAAGAGCACATGTCTTTTTGGACAATGTCACCCCTTCCCTCACTCTCTCCTAGTTCCCTGGTTTATTTTCATAGCAGCCCTTGAGATTGTCTTTTTTTAGGAGTAAAAGGAAACACCTCCAGCCTGAGGCTCATGCCTATTACAGGCATAAAATGCTGAGATTACCCTGCGTTTGAGGGTCAGAGGTGAGAAGGATCGGGAGTTCTAGGCCAGCCTGGGCTACAAGTTGAGCTGGTGTTTGACAGTTGAAACTCCTGAGTGGCTGTTGTCCCAGCTACTCAAAGTGCCTGGGATCTGAGGATCACAGCTCAAAACCAGCCTGGCTAGAAACGAGCGGTGGCCTGAAACTGGAGGTGTGGCCCAAATGGTGGGGCGCCATCTTTGAGGAGACAGTGAGGGAAAAAGCTAAGGGACAGCTCCCAGGCCCTGAGTTCAATGCTTAGGACTGGCACACATAAATTTAGGATTGTACTAAGCACTGGAGGCTCACATCTGTAATCCTAGCTACTCAGGAGGCTGAGATCTGAGGATCGAGGTTCAAAGCCAGCCCAGGCAAGAAATTCCCCATGAGACTCTTTATCTCCAACTAATCACCAGAAAACTGAAAGTGGCCCTGTGGCTCAAGTGGTAGAACGTTTGGCTTGAGCTGAAAAGCTCAGGGACAGTGCCCAGGCCCAGAGTTCAAGCTCCACAATCAACCAAAAAAAAAAAAATAAGGATTGTGATTGTTATTGTTACATTATACTGCAATGTGTGTGTGTGTGTACATATTTGCTGGTCTCACAGAATCCTGCCCAGGCTGGCTTCAAATTGAAATACTCAGATTAGGCATATAAAATACAGTATAAATGGTGAAGGAATTGCCCAGATATCAGAGGGAGAAAGAGTCCAGAAGCATGTTACTTCAGTCTTTATCACAGAAGGATATGAATGAAGGTCAGTGGCCTGGCCTGCTCTCACTCTTATTCCTGTGACTTTACAGAGCACCTACTGTTCCACTATGGTGCAGCACTGTGAAGCCCTCAGCCGGTCTGTCCAGGTGGTCAACCTAGACCCAGCGGCCGAGCACTTCAACTACCCTGTGATGGCTGGTGAGTCCTGGTGGGGCCTCCCCTCCTTTGGGAATAGTAGGTAGGGGGAGAAGGGAGTGCAGGCTGCCCATCCTGGAAGCTGAAAACATAATTATTGTAGCTGGGCACCAGTAGCTCATGTCTGTCAGTAGTTCTTCAGGAGGCTTAGATCTGAGGAGAGTGGTTTGAAGCTAGCCAGGACAGACAAACTCTAGAGACTCATGTTTAAGTCACCAGCAAAAAGCCAGAAGTGAAGATGTGCCTCAAGTGGTACAGTGCCAGCCTTGAGCAAAACGCTAAGGGACAGTGCCCAGTCCCTTTGTTCAAGCCCCAGAACCAACACACACACACAGCAGCTATTACAGTCTGATGCCCCTGGTGAACACATTGATTGTTGTTTGGTGGTCTATGATGATGTATGACAGTGGTTTTTTGTTTTGTTTTATGGTATTAAGCCTTGAACTCAGGAACCCTATTGTCTTAGGAAAGCACTTAACCACTTGGGCCACTTCCAGCGCCACTCCAGTTTTGTGGTGGTTTATTAGAGATATGAGTTTCACGGACTCTCCTACCCGGGCTGGCTTTGAACCGTGATCCTCAGATCTCAGCCTCCTGAGTAGCTAGGATTACAGGCGTGAACCACTGGCGCCCAGCTCAGACCATTTCCTTCCTTCCTTCCTTCTTCCTTCCTTCCTTCCTTCC